CAAGAGGTGGTATGAAGGCACGGCGGACGGTGACACTCCAGGCTAGTAGCTCGGATTCGGTGACGGAGCGTGCAGCCATTGCCTTTCGCATCTTTGTGACGTACGGGCTGTGGTCAAAGAGGCGCAGCATACCAGGGTAGTGCAAGATCAGTGTGGCGGTCAGGAACTTGGCTACGTCTTCGTCAAGGTTGAGGACATAGTCAGCAAATCCCAGAGTGTTCGAGAACACCAGAGCCTGGAGTTTGAGTGCACCGGTGTGTAAAGTGCTGCGATTGAAGGCAAGCGAGCGCCTTCCTTAGGCTTCCACCCGCTCAAGACTCGAGATACCTGCTGATCAGCTTGTGTCGTCACAAGCATATAGCCAAACGCTTTGTTTACACAGTCGAGCTGCCACGTTGGATAATTCAGTTTTCGGCAATGGTCTCGTCATTTGCATACATAGCCCCACCACGGCGAAGCGAGTGAGAGGTGAGGCCAGGGGTGAGCCGGATATTACGAAGCTTGGGATTATCTCTGGCCCTAACGATCAGCCTCTTAACGTAGGTTTGAGCTCCAGGGAGTAACGCGGCTGCTGAGCTTGAAGATTCTGGTATGGAAGTGTGGTCGTCCTCTGTCTCCAGAAGCTCAACGAGAGACAATTTCTCCAGATCTTGAATGCTCACGAAGCTTCGCTTCTTTTTAAGAAACTGAGGAAACATTTGTTTGCATGGAGAGTTCTGCATCACCAGCGGTACAGCTATATCATTGAGAGGGCATGTTAGAAAATTGTTGGAGTCTTTGGACAAGGACATACCCTGAAGCAATGCTGTTTTAATGCGCTTAAACCGAAGGAATAAACAACGCCTACTTAATTAAAATCTAGTTAGAACGTCAGATTGTTTGTCAGATCAATTATTGCGTACCCAAGAGGATAGACAGTTGCTGTTTCTCGACTTGTTCTGCGTCCGAACTAAGTACCACATCATACCAACTAGAGCGTAATCAAGATATTTACTCTCATTTGATGCCGTAGTGTATAGTATTCGCACAATTGTTTCTAATTCTTGTTTTGAGCACGGGGGAGCGACTCGTTCGTTACCACTTTCTTCTCGATTTGTGCAGTACCTTCCGAGTCTCGATAGAATCTGTTGTAGCTGGGGCTTCGCTAACCCGCTCTGTAGCGGGTATTTATCTACCAACCAGTTTTTTTTTATGTTTCCATAGTATGCAAGACATTTATTTGTAGCTAAAATTTTGTCCTGGGACCGTGCTAGTGAATTTGCATACTTGTCTATCATAATACGAAGCACTTTACCTGTCTTATCAGCATCGATAAGCTTGTGCGCGGCTGAAAGTGTCATTCCTTCGGCATTCTGAAACGTGATGAAGGAGTTCAACGCTGTCGTTCGCGCCTTCTTGCTGTTATTGTGAATTCCGTCCAAATTTGCCGGTTTGGGTCTGTTCGAGGAGCGGGAGGACAATCGCCCTAATATAAATCCAAGTCATTAGTAGAACCAACCAAGTCTTTTCTTACCACATGTCAGGATCTTATTTCGTACTTAAACGGGTCAGTATACGGTATTGTATACGCTGGGCTATTTGGGGGAGGTTCATTCAAAGAACCGCCCATGGAAATTTTGAGTAGAACTCACAATACCAGGGGCCAAGGATGTTATCGACATGACTGATACTTCGCAATTTTATCTATGTACAGTAACCCCCTACTGTTGGCTACCGTCAGAAACTTCAGGATATTTTTAGAATATGACTTTATATAGAAGTCAGTATCCGATAGACACTATGTTTCAAAGATTCTAACTAAATATTGTCAGAATGGTTGGAAACCTGCTCCTATCCAGATGCTTCTTCCGTTGGTGTAAAATAAGCCCTTTGTTAATGAGGATTGGTTGAAATACGGAAAATGGTGTTAGTATGTGATTGCATAGTCAGGTAACGGTTGGAATGTAGTGGATATTATACCATAACATAAAATCTCCGACCGTCACAAAACAGGTCCATATTTGTATGTAAGTTATGTACTTGTGTAAGTTGCTTCGGGGATCATATTTTGGGATTTGCACAAAAGGCGATGTGTAACGAGTTTGTAGCGGGATTGTTAGGCTCCGAAACTGCCTGTGGAAAAAAAAATGAAAACGGCAATTAACTGATTATGCATTATTTAAGCCCTGAGGCATATTCTCTCTACATAGCAAATAACAAAATGAGTTTTCCGGACCAGAAATCGGG